TTGAGAGACTGAGGAAGGAGTTCACAGAGAACCGTTACCAGAAGAAGGTGGCGCCAGGCAGTGCAGTCCTAGTTTTAACGGCCCTCTGTGAACTCCTTCTCAGTCTCTCAATCTCATAAATGGTTCTTATGTAATATTCTCCCACACCTGTCAAATTACCTATACCTGCTCTGCCGATGAAGTTATTCACGACCGCAGCCATGGCTCGGCCGCCTCGCCGATCTTCAGCCCTAGAAATTCATTTATAGGGCAGTCGTCCACTCCTAGGTATCTATCAAAAAAGTGCAAAAGAATAGATAAAAGCACAAAAAAATAGAAATATTTTTTTCATACTTGAGCAACTACCACACTACCTTGATGATTTAAAACCGTGAACTGAAGGCCCGCGTGACCCCTCCTTTTCACCACACAAACATAGATTCTTATGACTAGATGACCAGTGCTATATTATTGTGTATACAGGCCCTAAAGCACATAAAAAATTCGACACTCCAACACCGCCAACCGCCATGCAAGATGAGATTAAGGAATGAACCCATTCCATGCCACAAAAAAAGCAAGACACGAGAAGAAGATAGACCACCATATTTCTTAAACTAAACACACGTTTAAACGTGCAAGGTTGAACTTGATAAGCTCAGATCCCACGGATATCTAGAGACAAGACTACTCTGTCTCATTTTCCTTGCTGAAATAGACATTTCACCTGTCAACAGAACCAAATGGGGTGGAGGTGGAGGCCGACCTCAGATGGGGAGTACTCCATGCATAGTGCTTGTCAGATTCAGTTCACCAGAGTTTTCTTTCCGTTGTTTGCTGCCTAAGGTTATACCTTTTATACTAAGTACGTTATATATTGAGCATTTGTCCTTTAATATTACCCTTATTTGTAGCTATATGTGAGATTTGACTTCCTGGGCTTACATATGGTGTGTATCTGGTTTTGTTCTAAAAACCGGTTGCTACAGTCTCTGAGATCTTTACTTTTAGTACACGATAGTGTTCCAACTTCAACATCACCTTGAGACAGTATTTTTGTTGCCCCCACTAATTTCTTTGAACCATCTCTCCTCATTGGATTCATATACATTGCTACCACTAAAATGTTTTTGTTGGTGCAGTTTTTTTTTCCAATGGTCAGTAAGCAAATGTTTTTAGATATAAAGTATTTAAGAGATTGGTCTACAACCGTCCCTGAAAATGACCTCCATATGATTTGCCCCTAGAAATTCATTTATAAGGCAGTCGTCCACTCCTAGGTATCTATCAAAAAAGTGCAAAAGAATAGATAAAAGCACAAAAAAATAGAAATATTTTTTCATACCTGAGCAACTACCACACTACCTTGATGATTTAAAACCGTGAACTGAAGGCCCGCGTGACCCCTCCTTTTCACCACACAAACATAGTTTCTTATGACTAGATGACCAGTGCTATATTATTTTGTATACAGGCCCTAAAGCACATAAAAAATTCCACACTCCAACACCGCCAACCGCCATGCAAGATGAGGTTAAGGAATGAACCCATTCCATGCCACAAAAAAAAAACAAGACACGAGAAGAAGATAGACCACCATATTTCTTAAACTAAACACACGTTTAAACGTGCAAGGTTGAACTTGATAAGCTCAGATCCCACGGATATCTAGAGACTAGACTACTCTGTCTCATTTTCCATGCTGAAATAGACATTTCACCTGTCAACAAAACCAAATGGGGTGGAGGTGGAGGCGGACCACAGATGGGGTGTACTCCATGCATAGTGCTTGTCAGATTCAGTTCATGGGTCCTATATTGCAAAATCATGATTATATATGCTAGTACTTTGCAAAGCCGACAGATCAGAATCATTGCTTGCTTGCTTGGACTATACTCCAGAAAAAGTTCTGGCTGCTAACAGTTCATTTCTTGGCACCGCAGCTCGTGACCTGCAGTGCTCACTTGTCAGAACTCAGAACCAGCTCGTGCAAGCAAGAGGCGGCACAGGGGCATGGGCCAAAGGTAACCGCACATGCACACGGCAAGGCCGTGCGCACGAGGGTGACAGCGATGAGGAGGAGGAAGAGGGGGTCAACAGTGTCACCGCCAAGCTCTCACGGTGATGGACATGCATGGGATGGACATTCCCGTTTTACCGTCAACTAAATATAATTAAGTAATAAAAAACTAGATCGGATTCTATCTATTTTAATACTATTCCCACCTATTTTGGTATGGTATCTATCTTGTTGTACTTTAAGTAATTTCATTTTGGTACATCCTATATATTTAAACCGTTCGGTTTCTTCTTATAGATGGTCTATATTTTTTCCTTCTATTATAAAAAGAGAATTTTTATAATGGTTGAAAAAAATATTAACCATCCACATGACAAGATCGGATGGTGTAAAAATAAGAGGTACCAATATGAAAGTACTTAGAAGTACCAAATTGGTGAGGATAGTACCGAAATAGGTGCGACCAAGTACCAAAGTAGGTGGACAAATTCCATATTTTCTGAATTTATTTTATTTATGATAAGGATAATTTGGTAAATTTCAGTATAGTCATTCAAGGCCAAAACTAGAAGCACCCGGACCATTCTTTCTTCTCAATTTGACATGTGCTCACTTAGACACTCGTTGTTTTTTCTCCCCATCGGGAGCAATCATACCGTCACCGCCGCGCGTCCGTCTCTGTCCCTCCATCCGCAAACGTGGGGAAGTCCATGGAGAGGAAAGCAAGCTTGGGTGGGCTGGCCTTGGCGTTCGCCGCCGTCTCCAGCACTGCCCAGCGCAACAATCGTAGCTCGCTGGCTTCCTCTTCCCCGATGCCGATGCCCACGCCCACCACCCCACGGATGTGCCCAGCTTGATTGTCCACGGTCTGGACCATCAATATCTCCAGTAAGGGGGCACCTTTATGCAGCTGCTAGACTCGAGCAATCCTAGGGCCGTTTGGATCATTTTATTTGGAGTAATTGAAATCTACTTAATAAATTAGGCTATTTGGCCTGGAATTTGACGTCCCATGACTTTTCAAAGTTCACATATAAGCATATTTCAAATTCATAGGGTGAGAGATGAAAATTGATTATATAGATCACCATTCTATGTTTACACTTTGCAACTTATAACATGCTTTTCACTCGCTCTGCTATGATAGAAATGGAACACATAAGTATCTCTCTTGTATAACCAACAATAATATACAAATATTATCTATATACAACCATATTAGCTTAATTAATATGTGTCTAAATTATGATTATTAAAATGAATTCAATTCCAAAGATCAAAAAAGAGCCTTAGTGTTTGTCAAGGACAGCTACTGGACCATCAATATTTTCACGACTAGACCTTGCTGAATGTTTTTTGACTTGTTCATGTTTCCCTGAACACAACTGAATGTTCAGCCTGCTGTGCTTAGGCGCCCACGGCAGAGCGCCATGAATCAACATCGATGGGGCCTGACGGCGTGAGCACCTTGCTGTTGGGGGTGAAGACACCTCCAGTGCAGGCACGACCCAAGACGACGAGGAGCCGACCTCCGTTGCTCGTAGGCTGCTGCAGCTGCAACGCCCTGAATCCCGATACACGATGTCCGATCCCCTGAATCCGTTAATCGAGGGAAGAACGCCTAGCGGCGTTGCCCTGAGCTCTTCAGTGCGGATCTAGAGAGGAGCGCCTAACGGCGGCGGTGGCGATGACGAGCTATCGGGAGTTTAGGGTGCGGCGGCCTTCGACAGAGCCGAGCAGGGTGCATTCGTGGGTGTGGCTAATCCTAATAATCTGAAAAAACACGTGAGAGGCCACCGTGTTACCAAAATACCTCTATAATACAAATTATATTTTATAAATAATCTTCCTCAATTAATTAGTAAAGAAAATAAAAAAAATAAAAGTACCTAGAGGTACCATGGTACTTTCACAACCATTGTAAAACAACTCTTATAAAATTTCTCAGAACATAGAACTATCACAAAAAAGTCCTTACATGGTATTATGATCTACTTCTGATGGCATATCTGAAAAGAACGCAAAATGAGTTACAACCAATAGTTGTAGTTGGCTAGCTAGCTGGCTAGAAGACTTGGCTAAAAATTGGTCCACCAATAGCCATCTTATTTGGATATTATATACTAGATCTAAACTGATTTTTAAGCTAACTACTACCAATTAGCACTTAGTATCCAAACAGGTTCTTTGTTTGGCTTTTCTTTTTCCCGCTTGTCTTATTAGTTGGGCGCCTTTAACTTTGGTCTTTGCATCGGCTTCTCGTGTTGTAGCCCGGTATATAGTGGTGTTTTTAAATAGTCTCTTTTTTTTCTTCCCTTCTCCTGGTAGTTCTTACTGGGTGTGAGCTAGTAGCTGATATCTCTTGTTGTTCTCTATTCCTATTCTTCCTATAAACTACTGCATTTGAGGTAAACATCCTGCCGTCCTTTTCTTAAAAAAAAAAGGGGGGCACAAGTTGAAATATACTAGGGCCATGCAATTATTTCCCTCACGACAGAGACTTGCAAGTTTTGGGACTACAACATTTTATTAGGAAAACGAGGCTCAGGTGTAAGCCAAGCATGATTCATGTATGGGTAAATGTGCAGCGGCAGTGGATATTGCGGTAATGGGACTGAGTGACAGAAAAATTGGTTAAGAGGATAACATCACAGCAAAAATTGCATAAGCTCGTCGCACTCTGATCCAGTACACAAGAGATTTCTCTAACTAACATGCCAGATAAACAAACAATACAAAAACCTGGAACACGGACATCATATCATTGACCAAAATGTTCTATAGTGTAGCTCGGGAGGCTCAAAACTAGTTCAGGGTCATAAGTATCCAGGTTGCATTGCCCTCTCAAAATACTTGTTAAGGTAACTGCGGCCACTCTCGACCCCTATAAAAGTCTACCATCATATGCCTCCTGAAGCACACAAGTTCTGCTAGTTAGTTTGACGTTTGCAAGGTCGCCTAGCCTTGCGAGCAACATTGAGCATCACTGACTGGGCAGCTCATGTGGAGGCTGAAGATCGGCGAGGGCGGCGGGCCATGGCTGCGGTCGGCGAATAAATTCATCGGCAGGCAGGTATGGGAGTTTGACCCCGACGCTGGGAGCCAGGATGAGCTCGCTGAGATTGAGAGACTGAGGAAGGAGTTCACAGAGAACTGTTACCAGAAGAAGGTGGCGCAGGATCTCCTTTTGCGCATGCAGGTATTAACAAGCATAATAGAATTTGAAATTTATGTATTTTTCATTCACATGTTTTACAAGAACATAATACCTGGTCAAACCAGTACCCTTTGCAGTTATGACAATGACAGGCAACACTGGAAATAATTCCACTGAAATATTCCACCATATATACACTTGTTTTAGGTGTGTTGCCCAGGATAAACAAGGCCTTGTATGGATGCACATTTTTGGAATATTGAAAAATACTGCAGTTCTGACTTATATTTATCCAAAGCTGAACCCATAGAGATATTGTTGGCACTTGGCAGAACTCTAAGAGTAGCAATAACATAATGGTCAAAGTGGCATATCAGTAGCTAAAACTTAAGAACATGTCTACAATATTCTGTTTGCACTATTATGACGTGCACTAATTTAAAAGAGGCATGACATGTACCATTAAATTCTCACGGTATATAATTGTATATATGTAATGCAGTATGCAAAACAAAACAATCTTCAAGTGGATGTTCCGGTCATCAAACTTGCACATAGTGCCGAAGTAACGGAAGAGACTATATTAGCATCAATGAGGTGAGCCCTTGCCCAATATTCTACTCTACAAGCACATGATGGTCACTGGCCTTGTGATTATAGTGGTGTCATGTTCATTATGCCTATTCTGGTACGTGTTTTCTTTTAATTTGCAGCAACTATGTATATTTGAATCATATTAAGGATGCACAACTACATAAGCATCATCGCCGCAGGTTGGGGATCTCCAATCACAGTCGGTCTTGCAAACCGGTGGTAAAATGAAGATTATCACCGTCAATTTGCAACTGACCGTGATAATCAAATAAAAAATTAAAAAAAACATGTGCCTCGGCAAGTGTTGTTGTCACCTGCAGCTACACCTCGCGCCGAGCTCACGCCCACACCACCGCCACCCAGCTCGCCACTAGTGCCACTCGTCATCGTCCGATTTGGGCACCGGCCTGCCCGCGCTTGCCGCTATAGCACCTGGCACTGTCGGGGGGCGCTGCGCCGGAAGGCTGCCTGCTCTGGGAATCGTGGGTAGGTAGTGAGAGGGAGAGAGATAGAGGGGAATAGAAAACACACGGAGGATAGCACCTCTCTGCATGCGACAATTCATGGGGCGACATGCAGGTACACGCGCCTGCTTGTCAACCAATCCCAAGAAAGCACACATGGGTGAAAGAGATGTAGCACGCGCAGGCTGGTCTGGGTGGTTTTTCACCATGGGCTCTTCTCCCGAACTAGTGGAGAAATTGATCTTGTCCGTATAGATGGCCATCAGGCCGTCCCGGCCCAGCACGGCATGGGCCTATGACAGGCACGGCCCGATGGGGGTCGGGCTGGCACGGCACGTCGTGCCTCTTGGAACGTGTCGAATTTGGCTTCGTGCCTTACCAACGGCCCAAGCACAGCCTGTCGGTTTGTTTTTGAGGCCAGGCGGCCCGAGAACCAAGGCCCATCCATCGTGCCGTGCCCGAACCAGGCCCACGAGGGAGTGACGCCGTCACCTGTCGGAGGAAGCTGAGGTTGCGGCCGTAGCGTTGTGACGGAGTCGGAGATGGAGCCTCCCTGCAGTGCCTCCAGGCACGGCCTCCACGCGCTTGACAAGGCAGGAGCCAGGAGGGGAGCCGCCGACGCACTTTGCTCCCACGCGCTCGCCTCAGGGTCATCGGATCCACACGAATGGAGGCACTCGCTGCCGAATTTGCATGGCCGGCGGGCTGATGGAGTGGAGGAGGGAGTTCACAGCGAGAGATGGGAAGGGGAGCAAGCGCTAGGCGCCCGAGTGTAGCGGTCCGGAAGGGGGTGAGCGCTTGGCGCCCGAGCCGAGCGTGGCGAGTGCGGCGCCTGCGAGCTGTGACTACGAGTGCGGGGTGGGGAGGGGTGCGCAAGGGGCCGGGCCTTAGGTTTAGGAGGGGGTTGCTTGCTAGGCTGGGCTGACTAGCTGAGGGCGTGGGGAATTTTAGCAGGCCGCACTAGTCATCGGGCCGCCACCGGGCCGGCCACTAAAAGTCGGGCCGTGCCTTGCCGCTCGGTGTGCCTGTGGTGCAGCCCAGGCACGGCCCTATACACCGTGCCGGGCTGGCCCGGGTCCTTGCAATACCGGGCCAGGCCATGCTTGGGTCCGGCCAAGAAACCGTGCTTCGAGCCGGGCCACCGGGCTGCGGGCTGCAGAGACATCTATACTTGTCTAGCAGTTTTATTCGGAGCCGAAGTGATATATTGGTGATTTTAATAAAACTGGCAGCGTAAATATCATTGGCAAAAACCATTTTGGTACAAAGTTCTATTTTCATGTGGTTAGTGAATAAGTTAGTTTTCCATATATAATCGTTAGTAATTAAATATCATTGGTGATTTTTTTTAGAATTACACAGTGCAATGTAGACGCTCACAACACGCACGCGCACTCACCCATATGAACACACGTACGCAAACCCTACCCCTATGAGCACCTCTGAAGGACTGAGCCGACAAATCTTGAGATTCACGAAGTCACCACAGGCACCTCGCTGTCGACAGGGACGTCGTCTACCACTAAAAGCATAGTGCCATTAAATCCTAGAATAAATCTAGGAAAATACGAGCACCCGTGCCAAGTCGAGAACTTGAACCCGGGTGGGTAGGTTCCCCCACAGGGAACCCAACCAACTGATCGTTTGCAAATATCATTGGTGATTAAATAAATGATCTTAAGTCATTTCGTTTGTAAAAGTTGGCTATGCACGTCTTTTGTTCTCACTCTCTTTTAGCTTTATATAACTCATATAGGTACCTTTTAAAAAGAAAAAAATACGTAAGTTATGAAAGTTCTGTATTTTCTGCAGGTATTTGCACTATATGTCACTGGATCACTCAATACTGTTTTATCAACAGAACATCGATATGAGATCTGTCGCTATATTTACAACCATCAGGCATGACAACTAAAGCTTAGTTACTTTGTAGTTAACGTATTTGGTTGAACAAGTAGTATTTTTTCTACAGGTAAACACAATTATTAAAAGTTTTTTCTGTAATATATTCCATGTAGAATGAAGATGGTGGTTGGGGCATGCAAGAGTTAGGACCAAGCACCATGTTTAGCTCATGCTTAAACTATGTTACCTTAAGACTTCTCGGGGAGGTGTGTACGCACGACGCTTTAACCAAAGGACAAGCATGGATTTTGTCTCATGGAAGTGCAGCAGCAATACCTCAATGGGGAAAGATTTGGCTCTCGGTATGGCATTGAAATAATTAATAAATAAATAGAACTTTATTCTTTTATATGTGTTTGTGTTTGTGCAATCAACTAGGTTGAGTCTCATGTCTAAAATTTATAGTTTCCCTTATGTATTACCATGTATGATTGTTTATAGAGTGTTTCTATTTTTAATAATCTTTTGCGCTACTAGTGGCCCCACTGGAACAACTGCACTGTACGTACCATACCTTTAAATCATACAAAATGGGACGTTGGATTAGGATTAGATGAATATTTAACCTGTGGCACCTGCAAGAGGTGGGGCAGGTAGAGGAAACATGCTAATTAGTGGGGTTGGTAGTTGATGAGCGCGTAAGTCCCAACGAGGAGGACAAACAGAGGGAGGGAAACCTGCTATGATTGTTGATCGTTAATATTCTATTTTAGTGACCGTTATCCGACGCTAATTGTTGGCTGTGGTATAGTGGTATTAGTTTAATGTAAACCTTCTATTTGAACTATCTTGAAGTAGGAAAAGAATAAAGTTAAAGTATAATGCGAAGTTAAGTAAAGCTGAAGCATTGTTTAAATTTGTTTTATGGTTGACCTTAAAAATGAAGGGTTTACAAAACACAGTTATCACAGATGTATTATACATGAATTGCATAAGGTTATATGCACAACCTTATAGTACAAATTCTTGGGAACTCAGGGTCGAGTAGTCCGCTAATAAACCAAAGGGATGTAATAGGGGATCGTATAGATGGGTTATAGTGAAGAATTTAGCAAGGCTGTGGCATTTAGAAAGATTCCTACTCAGTAATTGAATGTCAGTGCTCTTTCATTTTTCTTATTTTTTTATGAAAACTAATTAGATTTCAGATGGATATCAATTGAAAATGGTGGATTGCACCATGGTGCTCAAATGTAGTGTTAATACTCAGTTATTATATTATTATAGATAGTTGAGAAGTCCATTGCTAACTCAAGTTAAAAGTGGGGTTCACATTAAAATATTACTCTGTTTCCCTTTAATAACTGTTACATATTATATATACCACAGAATCATTGATGTTCACTTTGCAATTGTGGATAGGTAGGGTCTAAACAAAAGATTAGTCATGATTGTTTCTTTGTTTCGTGGAGCATCCTTTCCTCTGTTCAATTCCTAGGGTCTAAATAATGATGGCCGAATTCCAGCTGCAGCTATTTGATTTTTTTAGATAAGGGCAGCTATTTGATTTATATAAACTAATATCTAGTGACCAAGAAGGAACTAATTATTGCCTTTTTTTCCAACTGGAGGTGATCGGTTTATATGACTGGAACGGGAATAATTCGATCATTCCTGAGTTGTGGCTTGTTCCATATTCTCTTCCATTTCATCCAGGTATATGTTTGTTTCTTAGAACAATTATAACTTAACTTTACCATAGACAGGTAAGGTCACTCCCTACATCAAGTATCAACTTTTCATATTAATTATTACTATCACATTAGTCATTATAGTCAGTCATTAAATACTATGCTATAAATTGATTTGTTGAAATATATACATGGCTTGGCAAGAACTGTATTTTTTACTTTACATAACAATTTCTATACTCGCTAATACTTTTTCTGTTCCCATGTCTATCCATAGAAACACGGTCATGTTGCTATGATAAAATTTTGAATTTGCAAGAATATGACTAATATTAGGTTGAGGATTGTGGAATATCTAATAAGCACTCATACTAAATGGGATTTTACGATAAAATAGCATTCCTCTAATTACTTTTCTTAGGACATGGAGAATAGAATCAACCTGGGTGGACACTTGAATCGTAATTATCAGTAATTGGTTTTGGATACTAATTTAAACTTGTTACCTATGTAGAAACAAGAATAAATAAATATTTACCCTCAAAGATATAATTTATCTAAATTTTGTAATCTAAATGTTGAAAACATTCTTTGGACGTGAAATCTATTATTATGTTTAAATTCCAATGAATTTTGGGGCATTTACATACACCTAATCTGAATTTGCATAAAGTATACAGTTATAGATAACTCTATCTCCTCTTATGACATAAAAAAACTTGTCATAATATATTTGTCATTTAATGTCCAATTCTTAAAATCAAACAAGATGTTTTCTTGTGTAGGACGTTTCTGGTGCTTCTGCCGGTTGATATATATGCCAATGGCTTATTTATATGGCAAGAAGTTTGTTGGGCCAATTACACCAACCATATTGTCAATAAGAGAGGAAATCTATAAAATACCATATTATGAGATCGATTGGAATAAAGCTTGAGATACTTGTGCTAAGGTTGGGTTTACTAAGTTTTGACTAGATCCAAAGTAACCCTTGCTCATTTAGGAATAAAATATTTTTGATGACTGAGTATCTATTTAGTAAGTATAACAGCAAAGTAGGTATGTATAGTTCTGTTTGTTTCTAACGTTGCACATCAAGTACTTTGTTTCTTTGAATCTTATCAGGCACTATGCTATTTTTTGTTATGTACAATGATGGAACAATTTTTTTTCTCCAACTAATTTTGAGTTTCAATACATATCAGTCAGAGAAAAAATACTAAAAGATTAAGTACCAGTTGTGCAATTAGAATTACAAACAATTTAAGCATAAAACATCAAGAAAATATAAGAAATTAGCTGAAAGTGTCTATTAAACAGTGTTGGGGACAGCGGATCTTCCTTCTGCAAATCCTGCTGGCTTGCAATCTCTTCTCCTGCTAAACCATTATGGAGCACCCTTGTTGAAGAATTATAGAGAACTACTCAGATGAGATTCCTCCAAATTAGGCCAAAATAACGTGTCTCAACACTTCCAATAAAAAGACCATGACACTGAGTCAAAAAACGCTTTCAAAATGTCTAGCCTTAGAAGAATTTGTGGGAGTTTATGTTGATGTAAAAAGACCTGGACAGCTGAAAGGTTGCCCCATAAGCATTTGCCCCACCCCAACCATTGTACTCCATGTGACCAAGAGCCTGATACCGCGTGCATCATATCCTATCTGGTTGCGTCTTCTCCAGGAAGGTGTAACCACTCCTATTCCGTCTCTATGGTTTGCCAGATCTCTCATCTATAAATGATGACAAGGAGTTCTATGGCTAGTGGTTGAGGATTATTGCCTTGGGGCCCAGGGTCAAAAGAGGTCTAGATTCCTTGCTAACCCTGTGGGCATGGATTTTGTGGAAGCACAACGATTGTGTGTTCATTAATTCAATGGGGGTCTAACTAGCATTTAGCTTGTTCTTGGACAGATTTAATTTGGAGGAGGCTCAACTCTGCTGTATTGCAGGCGCTAGAGGATTAGCAGCCTGTTTGAAGGTTGCTTCCAGATAATTCGTTGGTCCATTTAGTGTTTGGTTGGGTCTTTTGTCTATTCTTTTCCAAATATGCGTATGTATTATGTCCCTATCAGAGGTTTTGTGTGGTGGAGTGCATTGCTTTATATTCTTCTTCTTCTTCTTAATTGAATGATCGCAGGCCTCCTGCGCATTCAAAAAACAGAATATGTTACAGTTTTATGTCATAATAATTCAAGATGAGCTTAGCTTTTGCTAACTTGATTTTTATATCAGTATATCAGAAATTAGCTTGTATAGCATTTTCACCACTATGGGTATGGGTAATATATATATATATATATATATATATATATATATATATATATATGATTCCATGATTTGTTGTTTCTGTTATGAGCAGGAAGACCTTCTCTACCCAAGGTCGTTCGTGCAAAACGTTATTTGGACTTCTGTGAATAGAATTGTGGAACCATTGCTGAATTTTTGGCCAGCTAAGATGTTAAGAGATACAGCACTGAAAAACATCATGAAACATATCCATTATGAAGATGAAAGTACTAGGTACCTTTGTATATGCTCAGTAAACAAGGTAATGCATTCAGGAATGTTAATTTGATTAATTTGAATCCAAGAAAATTGGTTTACTGCCAATTCTTCTGGTTAATGGATGAGGAAATTTTATTGCCCTTTCCCATTTGACTCCAAACTTCTGTTTACTTCAAATCATGTCATTCCAGCCACAATGAACTTCTGTTTATTTGGTGTCAGACCAGAGCTAATTCCAATGTGCCTAAACAAGCTTCTGTTTATTTCAAAAGCTGCGCGCCAGCCATCACAACTTCACTTGAACTAGCTAGTTGAATGATGTCCCACCTAGCATGTTAGTAAATCCAGTGTAATGCATGATCAACTTGTGTAGTGTGTGAACAAGGATCTGGAAGATTGAAATACGTACGATAGGTTTAGGTACCTAAACTCATATTAGTCGATCACCAATTATTCATGATGTCCCACCTTGCATGTGGTTCCAGTGAAGTAAACAACTTACCATGATATTCTTAATCACAATTTGTGATGGGATTACCAGATGAAAGTACTGGTGATGAATGATTAGTTTTGGATTTATTGGAAAATTTTGTATATGATTGAAGTACATTGCAATGATTTGTTTTTATCACGAAAGCCATCCACGAGAACCTGAACCAACTCTGACTCACCAGAACCACATGTAGACTAGAAACCGATTTTATTAACTACTCAGCTAGACAACCAAGACAAAGGAAAGAAACAAATCATTGGTTCCTGATTAAACAAGGTCGTTTGCAGCTGTTGGGAGTCTTTTCAGAGATCACGAGAGTGTTAGGCTTTATTTAGTCATTTCAGCAATTATAACTACTTGTAGTTGGTTAAAGACTAATAAGACCTATAATTGTTTTGGATGGCCTAAGCAGTTTAGGTCATGAAGTAATTGCAACTACTATACTTTTTTCTATTTGTAGGCACTAAATATGATTTGTTGTTGGGTTGAAAATCCAAATTCGGATGCATTCAAGCAACACCTTCCAAGGATCTATGATTATTTATGGCTTGCTGAAGATGGCATGAAGTTAAAGGTATTATCCTGCCATATCCTATGTATTGGTTGCATTTCGGTTCCTATTCATAGTTAAGAAGAATGGCTTAGACTAATCACCTGTTGAAAACCTTCCATCCTCTTCATCCTTCAACTTTGTCCAATATCCATTAGAAAAACTACTATAACAGTGAATTTAAGAAAATAAAAAGTATATCTATTGTTTTCTCTATCTAAATGTAACTTTGCTCGCCTTTCGCATATTGTACACAACACACTATTAACTAAGATGGTGACATTGGAATCCTACAATACACCAACACCATAAGAAATGGTCTGGAGTTCAAATCTATCTTTCTTTATCCATTTTTCTTGTTCTCTGATCTCTTCTTTCTCCTTTAATTTTAAGGCTCTCCCTCCTATACCCTAGTTACCTCTACAATATATTCAATAATAAATTATCTCCATCCTTTATTTCCTACTACCCACTCTATCACTATAGCAGACGCGTGCTTTGCCGAGTGCAATTGCACTCGACCAAGAAGGCTTTGCACTCGGTAAAGCCTTTGCCGAGTGCTGCACTCGGCAAAGAGCTGTCGGCATATCTCTTCACGGCAAAGGCTTCTTTGCCGAGTGCCGCATGTCGGGCACTCGGCAAAGCCTTTGCCGAGTGCCGGAAAAGCACTTAGCAAAGATTTACACTTGGCAAAATGAAAATTCAGGGGAGGCCGCCACCGGCCAGCGCCCGCCCGTCTCCATCGAAGTCGCTGTATTTTTTGCGCTAAATTCGCGGCTAACGCGGCCGGCGGGATTCGAACTCACGACCTCTCCCTCGCGTGTCTGCTACTCTACCACTGCACTACACTGTCACTTGTGTCTAGATTCCGTTATCTATCCTCATATATTATACTAAATCGAGAGTAAATTGCTTGTTTGAGGCCCTAACGAATTCAAATCAAAAAGTGGTCAACTACAAAGTTTTATAACTTTTCGAGATCTACAATTTTCATTTAGGAAGTTTTTCCATCCGAGGTCGTTTGAAAAATTCAAATTTTAAATTTGAGAGATTCAAACGTAGTTTTGCATGATAAAATGATATCAAATCAAAAAGTTGTCAAGTACATAGTTTCATAACTTTTGGAGATCTACTATTTTCATTTAGTAAGTTTTTCCATCCGAGGTCTTTTGAAAAATTCAAATTTTAAAATTTTCAAATTCAAACGTCGTTTTTGCATGACAAGATGATTTCAAATCAAAATGTTGCCAACTACAAAATTTCATAACTTCTCAAGATCTATAAAGTTTATTTTGGTCATTTGTTTATCCGACATAATGATAGTAACATTGTTCACAAATCTTATATATCTCTCTTCTACTTTCATGAAACTAATATGAGAGATGTAGATTTTATGAAAAACATTATTGTCACTTTGTCAAATGAAGAAATGACCAAAATAAACTTTGTAGATCTTGAGAAGTTATACAACTTTATAGTTGAAAAGTTTTTCATTTGAATTCATTTAGGGCCTCGAAAATTGCTTTGAAAAACTGATTTGCCGAGGGCCAAAAAATGCACACGGCAAAATGCCTCTTTGCCGAGTGCCAAAACAAAGGCACTCGGCAAAATACATCTTTGCCGAGTGCCAAAAAAAGGCACTCTGTAAAGACGCATTTTCCCGTGTGCCGAAAAATAGCACTCGGCAAAATACATCTTTGCCGAATGCCAGAAAAAAGGCACTCGGCAAAGACGCATTTTGCCGAGTGTTTTTTTTTTTTGCCGAGTGTATTTTATTTGGCACTCGGCAAAGACCGTCTTTACCGAGTGCCCGATAAAATACACTCGGCAAAGCCTACGGCACTCGGCAAAGTGCCGGTTTCCGGTAGTGATATATGCTGCTACCAAAATAAAATATCAGAGATCTCCATTCTGGAGGACATACAGAGAGGATGCTATAAGTCCAAGTCATCACCATGTCTGCTGCTACCGTCTCCAGCCAGGCTATGCTTCCTTGTTGCACTGGACATCGGCCAGCAAATTGCTCTAATAATTATTCAAAATGATGTGGCAAATTAAATGTTGATACGGCAGTTCAATCAGGTGATTGCGAAATCTAATTCCCCGGTCTATCATAGGTGTATGAAGGCACACAAGCATGGGATACAGCTTTTATTATCAAAGCATATTGCACGACTGACCTGGTTCATGAGTTTTCTCCAACACTCCGGAAAGCTCATGAGTTCATAAAAAGTTTGCAGGTTTAATTGTATTATTCAATACTCTTATGTACTATAAATTTTTACAATAGTTGCATAGAAAATATTGACATGCATGATTTTAGATCCCTGAAAACCAACCCGACCATGAAAATCATTACCGCCATAGATCAAAAGGTTCATGGGCTCATTCAACATTAGACAATGGATGGTCTGTATCTGATTGTACAGCAGAAGCAATTCAGGTCAGTGCAAGCTATGTATGGTTTATCTAGAGAGTCAAAAATATTCTTCCCTTGTATATATAAGTATAATGAGGGCATTATAACAAGGAGCGTTTACAATGTGCTGATATATCTTTTGCCCAAAAAAATAATGGTAGAGAATCCGTGAGTTGTTACATGGCACTTTCTAAGAACTGTACATATGCATAAAATGTCATGTGTTAATTAATGACAGCTTCTTGGATTTTTCTTCTATATTAACCCCTAATAAGTTAAATTCTATATATAGGCATTGTTGATGTTATCAAAGATCTCTTCCAATCTTGCGGGGGATCCCATAAAGGAAGAAAGATTATATGATGCTGTGGATTGCTTGCTTTCTTTTATGGTATGAATCTATCTGAAATTATTAATCATTTTCTTAATTATTATAGGGAATGATTAGTTTTTCTGTTCCTAGGCTAAAGCCTATCTAGCTGGGAAATAACCCTGTGTTGAGCAATATATATTTAGAGGCCATCGTTTGGTTTGTTTGTACTAGTTAAGCCTATGATTACTAGATCTTGTTCTGTGAGCTGTCTAGCTTGGTTTCAATCACCTCATCTTTGCTAAAATGAAATTTAACTCCATCTATCCCCTCTCTCGAACTTCAAGCTGGACCTGCACATTGTTGTTGCACTACTGCTCGAGCTAGCTACTGCTTTCAAAGCATTGCCCGCATCGGCCTGGACTTAGTCACTTCCATGGAGCTGCCTGCACCTTGGCTATGCTGAGAACAACGTGCGCCCTGTGGCACCCTGCGCCTAACCCAGCACCGGCCGCAATCTTGCAAGGGTCCGCCATAAAGGCAAGGAAAGAAGCTCGCCGCCCCCGTGGTAGCTGCTGGGCTCAGCAACTCTAATAGTCTGACTAACATGTCCATTACATTAGAGTTAATTTCACATTTTTCATAACTATTTTTATACAGCAAAGAAAATGAACATCATATTTCAGAATCCAGAGTTTAAGAGCCCAAAGAAAGGGTTTCATCTAAATTGTACATAACTTTGTCACAACAAGGCATGCTATTCTAAAAATATTCCCTCCGTCCTGTAATATAAGGTATACAAGCATTCAAATTTGTCCCAAATTATAAGGGATTCTAGGTGTACAAACCCTCCAAAAAGCAACATTCACATGCATACCTACTGTTAATATATCACCAATCCAAATATGGTAATCAGAGAGGGTTACATGCGTCATTTGTTTCACCACATAATGTGTACTAAAATTTCTTGGATGCCTTATATTTGAGGATGGAGGGAGTATGATGTTGCAAACCACATTGGCTAAAATTAAAACTGACAGCAGCACTGAGTCCTCTATAAAAACCTTTTCTAATGGGAAAATCCAATTCAGAATGTACCATCACTAAAGCTTTCATGGAGCGGATAATCATTATTGAGACAATTTAGTCTTGTATTTAACATAAGTTGTACTAATCGCCATTTCTTTTTCCATTGAAGAACAAAGATGGCACCTTTTCAACATATGAGTGTAAGAGAACTGCATCTTTGTTGGAGGTGAGTACTTTTTTATGTTGCATTGTTATTTGTGTGTAAAACCGAGTTTGTGAACGAATTCTCTTTTTTTTTTTGCGAACAATGTGAACAAATTCTCTAACATGGGCAAGAAACCTTTGAAGGAAAAAAAAGGATATTATATAATAGAATGAGTCGGCCCAGTGCACCAAGACAGGTTCAATGGCCATATGCGAGAAAATATTCTTTAATCTTGCATTGCCAACAAAAATAAGTGTTCTCCATGGATGCATGTTTTGTGGGTTTCTTCAGGATTTTGAACTGTTGTTCATGTTTGCTTTGTCATGCATGGCTGATGACACACTCACCTCAATTATGTTCGCAATAGGTTCTCAACCCTTCTGAGACTTTTCTGAACATTGTTGTTGATCACCGTAAGTAAAAAAAAATACATTCTCATTTGAACACCATTAATCCTATTTTTCAAATGTGTGCGAGCTAATTCTTGTGTTCAACAAATTGACAGATCTGTTGAATGCACGTCATCAGCAATTCAAGCTCTTGTTATGTTCAGAGAGTTGTATCCAGGGTACCGTGATGAAGAGATTAAAAAATGTATTAAAGGAGCATCCAAATTTATCGAGAGCAAACAACGAAAGGATGGAACATGGTATTTAAAATCATCTTGTCTGTTGTATGCTGTTATCCATTCTTTTAATGCACACAGATAATAACTAACTTACTAATTACATAACAGGTTTGGCACTTGGGGTGTATGTTTCACTTATGGGACATTTTTTGCAGTGCAAGGATTAGTTGTTGCTGGAAGAACTTATGAAAATAGTTCTTCCATTAGGAAAGCATGTAGCTTTCTATTGTCAAAGCAGCTAAGTACAGGTGGATGGGGTGAGACTTACCCTTCTAATGAAACTGAGGTAATTCTTAATTTCCTTTACCTAACTATTTGCCTTCTTGGTCATTTCACGTTTGATATTTGTTAGAATGGTATGGTACACACACACACACACACACTGTGCAAAACACGCAGGCACGCTCAACTAGCAATTACAGTTGAGTATTACAAACTGAGAAATCCTATAATATAATTCCTATTCTAAATCATTATAAATGGCTCATACAGGTATAAAAAATCGTTTTCTGTACAATCATATGGATATGAGTTGTACCTGAATGCACATATAGCAATCTCAGATTTGTAGAATTCATGGTCTATAGTTTCTGCAATACACGTCAGGCAGGCTAAACCCCTCCTATGTTTGATCACAGGAACACATTGGGAGCTTCAATTGTTCCTTCTACTTCAACTATGGAAACTACCGTAACCTGTTCCCAATTTGGGCTCTTGGAGAGTTTCGGAGACGAATTGTTGCAGAAAAGAAGAGGAACCAACAAGCATGTTTGTTTTAGACAATGCTATTGTACTCTAGTTACCCCATGCATTCGAACCCGTTTATACAAATCCATATTTGTAGTTCATCCATTCATACCTGTTAAATGCAAAAAAAAAAAAAATCAGATATTTAGATGTTTTGTCAATTTTTCGATATGGATATGTATACTGGAATTGAATATCAATACATGGCAACTAATATCTGATGGATATTGTGGGGGTAGGGGCGGCTGTGCCTACCCCCCTCTATGTAAAAAGGCCTAGTGCCTAGTAGGTCTGAGGACCTTTATGTAAATTCATAAACTAAAAGGGGGGGGGGAGGAAGATACATCATCCCACCTCCCTATAAATAGAACCCAAAGACAAAGGGGAAGGGGTCCTCTCTTTTCCCACTTTATTCTCCTGTGTGGGACTAGCTCCCTAGCTTTCCCTTCACCCCGGTGAACGTCTGGATGAAGGTACGCGCGAAAGACTATATCCCAACAGTGGCGCCGACTGTCAGGACCCCATTGCACCACAAGCAAAAATAAGACATGAAAAAAGACTACCCTTGTCACGCTGCCGTGGCCAAGCAGAGCTACTGTCGGTGTTTCGAGTTGCCACCAACAAGTATATTTGTATTATTGCGCGTCTGGTCCAGATGGTGTGCTAAGACGACACGAGGTTTATACTGGTTCGGACGGAATGTCCCTACGTCCAGTTCGTTGCTGCTGCTCGTGTTAGTAGCATTGAAAGTTCGTAGTAGGGGTTACAAACGGTCGAGAATGGGACTGGTCCCAAGTCTCTGGTGGTGTGTTGCGATGAGCTCTGATTCGAGTCGAGTCGAGTCGAGTTCGGATTCGGATGTGTTCGATTGTTGGTCCGATGCCCCCTAATGGGACGTCCTGCTTTCCCTTTTATAGGCCAAGGAAAAGCAGGGGTTACAGCAGAGGGAGAAGAGGAGAATCAGAAGGAGAAAGAAGTCCCCCGGGATCGCCGGGTCCTTCTTCTCTTCTATGTGGGTCCCGCCGACTCTGTAGACGTCAACAGGGATAGGTTCTCGTTGCGGCCCTGTCCGTCACTGGCGCCATGTGCAGGCATTGTCTGTCGGTCATGGCGCTCCACTCCGTACTGGTAGATGTCGTGGTGAACTGACGAGCCCGTCAGTGTTTGTACGGAGGTTAGACAGAATAGCACTGGTACGCCCGACGTTGTTCCTGACGTGAACCCCCAGGTATGGCTCGTCATGGGTCGCGGGCTACATCGAGACGTGCCAGTCTCCTCCCTGACGTCAGAGCTTTGACCCAGTCACAAACGCTTGGACCTGGAGTGGTTGGTGGCGGTATGGGTCACCGTCGGGAAAGACGGAGCCTCCGGCCTCGGGGTCGGGCGAGGCAGAGTTCCTCTCCAGAGGCCGAGCGAGGCGGAGCGCAAACCCAAGGGTCGGACGAGGCGGAGCCCACGGCCTTGGTGTCGGACGAGATGGAGCCCGCGCCCAGAGGTCGAACGAGGCAGAGTCCGCCCTCAGGGGTCAGTCGAGGCGGAGCGCGGACCCGAGGGTCGGGCGAGGCGGGCCCACGGCCTTGGTGTCGAGCGAGGCAGAGCCCGCGGCCTCGGTGTCGGCAAGAGCTATAGTCGCGCTCTTGGCCGCTCGGATGAATCAACGTTGATGGTTATTAGCTCCTCCTCTTCGGATACCCTAGTATTGGTCCCCGACAGATACCCTCATCGTGGCCACACTGGGCAACCCTCGTCGTGGCCAGACTGAGCAACCCTCATCGTGGCTAGGCAAAGCAACCTTCATCGTGGCCTGACTGAGCAACCCTCGTCGTGGCTGGGCGGAGGAGCTACCCTCGTCACAGCAAGGCAGAGCAACCCCCATCGCGGCCGAACAGAGCAATCCTCGTCGTGGCCGAACGGAGCTACCGTCGTCGCGGCCGGGCGAAGCAACCTACGTCGTGGACAGACAGAGCAACCCTCGTCGCGACCGGACAGAGCTACCGTCATCACGGCCCTCGTCACTACCGGACAGAGCCACCCTCGCCCGCGGCTACCTTGGACATGAAGAACTAGCTAAGTACTCCAAACACCTATATTTCTTTATACAGACCGGTTTCTATGGCTCGTGCTCGTAATCATTTCTAGCGAAGGTCTGCCAGGTGCTAGGCACGAACGTCCATCTAGTGCCCGAGCCGGCGTACAAAGGTGCTGTGATCCGCGCGAAGCTGGCTCCTGAGTGTCTGCCGCCTATGGAGACGCACGGGCCTCCACTTTTCTGCCCAGATAAGAAACCCGGCTACTCCTTCAAACTTGTGCAAAAAATAAATAAATGAATAAACAAAGTATACATGTATATATATCACACCATGCATTGTCACTTACAGCCTATACTCGTGATTCGCGAGTGGCCATGGTATTTTTGAAATAAACTGAATTCATTTAGAGTGCTCTTACTAATGGTTGCATGAGTGAGCCTAGTCATGCATGTCGTTTGCAGCTCCGCATGACATAAAAATTCCAAACCATATACATGTTTCGTTCCATAGGGTGGTACCCACGAACAAAAACAAAGACTTCTAAACTAATTACGTACAACACTAACCTTTGGTGCACATGCACCACTTTTGGACTGGAGCATGTTACCTGCGGCTCTGCTCTGTGCATGCTCTTATCAAGTATGCTCTTCAGGCTAAACCTTCGTGTTTGTTCAAAGGATCCACCGTCTTTGCAGGATTAAAACCCTCACTTACTTATTGGCGACTGTCATCTTGTGACTAGCACCGTATCCTCAAAAACCAAATACACAACCACCTTCGCTGAAAAACTCACGCTCCTCCAGGCTGAAACACCCCCGTCGACCTCGATAACCATTGGCCTGGGGCAGCCTCCGGCCCGAGCAGCAACGTCGTCCGGTCTCGAACCACCCTCGGCAGTCCGCGCAGCACCAGCTCAGGTCGTCGTTGCACCTTCATCCAAGTGTCCAACAAGACACCGTCAGAATCGACCCTCTCGCGTCGGCCACAACTTCGCAAAGGTTCTGCATCCTCGATAGCTTTCCTTCAATGAGCTCAACCGACGGTGCAGGAGCTCCGCACCTGGCCGGGACTACAGCCCACAGCCAAGCATCGCGAAGGTGCACGCATGAGCGCGCTCGAAGCCCCGCCGCTCAAGCAACGGAACTAGCAGTTAGAGCTAATCCCCACTGTTGACTATGGTTCGGAACTGGCCCAGGGAATTGTTACCTCCGCCTCTACGAGGTCAAGCTTAGGCCCAGGGATCTGCCCGTCTTAGTCCTTCGTGTTGCCACGAAGTTGTCAAGCGTCCATGAGAAAGAAAGACCCTCATCTGCCCATGCGTCCTCCACCGCGCGACCGGAGCAAGCCGCCGGCTGTGCGCCATGCATTCTCTGTTTCGCTCCTTCTAGTCTCATCATTAATTCATCATCACGACGTCACATCTAAATATGGCCGTTTTCCTATAGAAAAAAAACAAGAAATACACTCCAAATACACATATACATACACTCCACCACGCGAGTTCCAGCTCCCAGTTTCAGTCTCCGCCTGCAGCTCCGCTGGCTGTTTTGGCGTAGCTAGACCGGCCAGCCTCAACAAACACAGGCCTGTCGGCTAGGCCAGCTCATGCGAAGCTCGGGTTAGCCCCTTCTGACCCGCAAATGTTGTATGTGTGAGAGAGACGCTCTGACGGCTCCTCTAAACTAACTGATTTAGGCGGACGTGTCACTCACCGCTCGGGTGATTTAGGCGGACGTGTCACCCGGGCGGTTGTAGCCCCTACGATGCTCCATTCCCCGAGAAACAAAAATCGAGTCTTTTTTAACCGTCTAACACTTGGCATTCAGATCTAGCGAATCAAAAAAATACTAAACAAAAAAAAAAGCTAGATTATTTCTATGGAAGACAAATTAAAAATTTTCAAAAGAGAACCAAATAAAATATACAAAAAATAAAAAAAAAACCAAAAAATATCAAATAAATGTTCGAGTAATTCTGATCATATCTCATTTATGAATAATCCATTTACACCAGTTGAATAAGAATTTACATCTGAACTAAAGTAGTAAAATATGGTTCAATGAAATATAACTTGCTCTTACTAAAGGAATGAATATACATAAATGTAACTTGCTCTTACTAAAGGAATGAATATACATACATGGGTAGAAGCTAGGTGATTTGACGCTACCGATCAGCCAGTCTCTGCACCTGTCCCTACACAAAAGCGGCATGAACAGGCAGCACTGCATAGCACTCCACCGGCGCGCATACAGCCATACAGGGGAGGAGAAGGAGCGTGTCAGAAGAGAGAGCGGTGTGGTGTGTGGGCTCTCCCAGGCTGCCCTCTCCCGTTCAACGTGTGGCCCCCACTGCCAAAAAAGAAGTGGTGTAGACGATCTCTATCCTGTTCTCGCTTGGCTGATAACCAAGTATTGTTGCTTATTTATCGTGAGAGAAAAATATTATTCGTTGGTTGAAAAGTATGGCTTATAAGCCAAACGAACAGTCACTCAATCTCCGCATGTGGGCATGCAGCAGCGGTAGGAAGGCTCCGTCTGCCACCTTGGGCCCCGCGACCACTCGCTACATCTCCACCGTTGACAGCAGCAGGATGGACGGCCAACAAATCGAGCCCCTATGGCAGTAAAAGCTAAGAACAATCCGCCTATCCCGAATTTTGCAAAAAATTCATAAGCGCGTGCTTTCGAATCGAATCGAACCCAGGCTGAAGTCCTTGGCAACCTGACCTAACACCAACGCACTAAGTATGCTTGTGTTCTTTTCTAGAGACCCGTAGCTTACTTGTCCAGGTTCGTCATGCTTTTCCGGCAGCAAAAAAGGCTTTAGATCTGCGAGGGTCCAAGGAGCGCCGGAGGTATAACGGGCTGAGATCTGCGAGGGTCTCAGATAGTGTTCCAAAACATGTTAACTTGTGCTCGCTCTTTTAAGCATGCCGTTTCATATGTAAGCCTTCAATCTCAGGTGAGTCGGCTAACCATTCTACGGCCGTAGCCTGCATA